CCCTGTACAACCATTATAATAACTCTCACAGTGCTAGTTTCAAGGCCCTGGAAGACCTTCTAAATTAGGAGCTATCCCAGTGAAAGCTAAGCAGGTCCATATGCACATGCACATGTAACACCCACAGACACTTGTGCTGTGTATAGCAGAGTGTACCCCTTTGGTTGCTATATATTGTGTGTTTTTTTCTATATTTACCTTTTTCCCCCTTTTCTCCTTTGGCCTGTTGCTTTAAAGAGAAAACATATGATCTAGCCATGTGGGCAAGATGGCCCCTATTGTTCTGGCCATGTGTCTGCACATGGAAAGCTGGGGCCTTGTATCTGGGTAATATATGTAAAATCCTCTGATCTGGGTGGCCAGGGGGTGGGGAGCAGAAGCTTCTCCAGGTGGACTGATTAGGAGAGAGACTGAATCATGGTATTCCCTGACTGGATATGGCTGAAAGGATGTCAGGCTCAGGGATATAAGGTCAGCTAGGCTAGTTTGGAGTGGGGGAGAAGCTGCTATGAGCTACTGAAAAGAGAAGTCCCCTCCAAAGGGAGAAGGAATCAGCAGCTAAAAAAGGAGAAACTCAGGCCATATAATCCAGTCCAGAAATTTTGGACTATGTGTATGCTGGCTGGAGCTGCAGTTACCCCCACACACAGCCTCTCCATGGAATCAGAGATCGGTGCTCTACCACTTTTCCAGGAGTGGCGAGGGGCCCCCGCACCACAACCAAACCACTGACCACAAGCAGCTTCCCAATGTGTGATCAACCCCAATCATAAGACAGCTCCAGCATGGACCCTGGAACTAACCCTTTGTAGGTCCCAAGTCCCAGATTGGCCTGGGCTGGGGTGAAGTCTTTCTAAAGGGGTTCAGCCTATGAACTGTAGTTCTATTATATTGTGTTTAAGGTTCTGTTTTGGGGGGTTTTTTGTTTGTGTTTTGGTAATAAATTTGTACTTGTTGGTTTATACTGCTTGCAAGAATTAGCATCTGTCTTTATGGAATACCCCAATCAAATGTAGTGATCCCAGATTTTTGGGCTGGGGCTCACCGGGTAACTGTAGGATTACATTCTGGGGTAACTCACCGGGTACCCCAGAATGTAATCCTAGCCCTTGCTGTCAACCTGTGCTTGGGAGAAGGATTACACAAATATTTCCTGTTAAATATTCTCCTTTGCATCACATCTCCATAACCATACCCATGATCTTGGGTAGAGAAATGTCTCCCCAACCCCAGCCAGGTCATGAAGTGCTACAGGGGTTTGGGAGCAGGGCTTAAGGGGTTGGGGGTTCAGGTGGTGTCTTCCTCGATCCTCCTGGTTTCGGGCTACGGGCTGAGGAGGGAGAGGAGGATTGAGGTAATAAACCAAAGACTGCGGCACTGGTGTCATTGTGAAGGCTTTGGCTTCCATGACCACAGTCCGCTCTCTGGTGAGAGAGGCAGTAAGCTGCTGGGAAGAGATGGCCTCTACCTCTCTCCACAGAGGAGGAGGCTCTTCTCAGCCAGACTGGCTGACCTGCTCCACCGGGCTTTAAACTAAGCCCGCAGGGAGATTGGGGGACTACCGCCACTGCTGGCCCACTGAGCAACCTTTACAAATCCAGCAGGCCAAGGCACTTAAGGGAACCCACCCCTGCCCCAGCCCTGGAGCGATCTGTAGCCAAGGCAAGGCCCCCAAAGGGACACTTGCGTGCCTGTACACAAATGCCAGGAGCTTGGGGAATAAACAGGATGAACTTGTCCTCCTGCTTAACACAAATAACTATGATGTCATAGGGATAACGCAGACCTGGGGGGACTCCACCCATGACTGGGCCACAGGTATAGACAGCTATACCCTGTACAGGAGAGACTGAGTGGACAAAAGGGGCTGGGGTGTAGCTCTCTATGTCAAGGAAAATTATGCATCCCTGCAAGCCGACATTGGTGCCCAGGGTGGACGACTGGAGACCCTCTGGGTTAAAATCTGTGGGGAACATGGCACAGGGGGCACAATTGTGGGAGTCTACTACAGACCTCCTACCCAGGATCAAGAGCTTGACCAGGAGTTTGCCATGGAATTGGCTGAGGCCGCACATTCCCAGTGCATGGTTGTCATGGGAGACTTCAACTGCCCAGACATCTCATGGGAAGAGCGCTCAGCCAAATCCAAGTGGTCGCAAAGCTTTCTCTCGTGCGTGGATGAGCTCTATCTGATGCAAGAAGTCGATGGGCCGACAAGAGGTAAAGCGCTGCTCGACCTGGTTCTGGCAACCGGGGACGATTTAATCAGCGACCTAATGATCAAAGGGAAGCTGGGTGACAGTGACCATGAGCTGATCACCTTCACCATCTACCGTAACGCTGGCAAGTCAGTCAGCAATACAGAAGTCCTCGACTTCAGGAAAGCTGACTTTGACAAGCTCAGGAGGCTTGTCAGGGAGGCCCTAAAGGGCCACAACCCAAAGGAGAGGGGAGTTCAGGATGAGTGATGCTCCTCAAGGGAGCGATCCTGGATGTGCAAGCAAAGTCTATCCCATCTCGGAGGACAGGCAGCAAAAGGGCACAGCAGCCCCTTGGCTCTCCAGGGAACTAGCGGACCAACCTCCTGCATCTAAAAAGACAGACCTACAAAGGATGGAGAACTGGATCCACCTCCAAGGACAAATACTATGCACCGGTCCGGACCTGTAGGGGGTGAACCAGGAAAGCCAAGGCTGTGACGGAACTCCAACTAGCTACAAGTATCAAGGACAATAAAAAGTCCTTTTTTAGATATGTGGGGAGCCGGAGAAAAAGCAAGGCAACATTGGACCCCTGCTAAACCAGATGGGACAACTGACAATGACACCCAGGAAAAAGTCAACTTGCTAAACGGGTACTTTGCGTTGGTCTTTCACCAGTCCCGTGGGATGCCCCTGCCCATTATGGGACAGGGAGGCCTGGGTAAGGGAGATTCCTTATCCTCCACCAATGCTGACCTCATGAAGGATCACCTTGAGAGGCTGGACACCTTCAAGTCAGCCGGCCCTGACAGTTTATACCCCAGGATTGGAAGAAGGCCAATGTGGTGCCTATCTTCAAGAAGGGTAAGAAAGTGGATCTGGCAAACTACAGGCCCATCAGCCTGACCTCTATCCCAGGGAAGGTCTTAGAAAAGGTTATCAAAGAGACCATTCTTAACAGACTGGCTGATGGCAACATCCTGAGGGATAGCCAGCATGGATGTGTTGCGGGTAGGTCTTGCTTGACCAATCTTATTTCCTTTTACAACCAGATGACCTATCACCTAGCCAAGGGAGAAGAGATTGATCTCATATATCTTGACTTTAAAGAAGCCTTTGATCTTGTATCCTATGATCACCTCTTAGCAAAACTGGCCAACTGAGGCCTCGGCTTCACCATGATCCGCTGGGTGGGGAATTGGCTCTATGGTCAGACCCAGAGGGTGGTGGTTGACAGAAGTCAATCAGCGTGGTGTGCTGTGACCAGTGAGGTCCCTCAGGGCTCTGTCCTTGGACCTTCATTATTCAACATATTCATTAATGATGTGGACATTTTTATCAGAAGCGGACTGGCCACATTCACCGAAGACACCAAACTTTGGGGTAAAGCATCCACACCTGAGGACAGGAGGGTGATCCAGGCTGACCTCAACAGGCTCAGGAAATTGGCAGACGAGAACCTGATGGTGTTTAACACTGAAAAATGCAAGGTTCTCCACCTTGGGAAGAAAAACCTGCAGCATGCTTATAGGCTCAGCAGTGCTATGCTGGCTAGCACTATGGGCGAAAGGGACTTGGGGGTCATGATTGATCACAAGATGAACATGAGCCATCAATGTGATGCTGCAGCTACTAAAGCGAGCAAAATGCTGGCTTGCATCCATAGATGCTTCTCTAGCAAATCCCAGGATGTCATCCTCCCACTGTACTCAGCCTTGGTGAGGCCACAGCTGGAGTACTGCGTCCAGTTTTGGGCTCCACAATTCAAAAAGGATGTGGAGAAGCTTGAAAGAGTCCAGAGAAGAGCCACGCACATGATCAGAGGTCAGGAAAACAGACCTTATGATGAGAGGCTGAGAGCTATGGGACTCTTTAGCCTGGAAAAACGCAGGCTCAGGGGTGATCTGGTGGCTGCCTATAAGTTTATTGGGGTGCTCACCAGGATCTGGAGGAACGTCTGTTCACCAAAGCACCCCATGGGATGACCAGGTCAAATGGTCACAAACTCCTCCAAGACCGTTTCAGGCTGGACATAAGGAAGAACTTCTTTACTGTCCGAGTCCCCAAGGCTTGGAACAGACTGCCACCATAGCTGGTGCAAGCACCTACTCTGGACTCCTTTAAGAGTCAATTGAACATTTATCTTGCTGGGATCCTATGACCCCAGCTGACTTCCTGCCCCTGGGGCAGGAGGCTGGACTTGAAGATCTTCTGAGGTCCCTTCCCGCCCTAATGTCTATGAAATCTATCCTCAGCTTCTTAGTCATCATGGATTCAAAGGAAGTCTATAGCCATTAAAAGATAAATCACTTTTAACATCCACATCTCAAGTGGGGTTGAGGCAAAGGTCTGATTTGCCTTAATTCAACAGGCAAATGCCGGCTGCTGCCTCTCATTAGCAAGGAAAATCTTCAGGGTAATAACAGGTTCCAGGTTTTGTCTTCCCATGTGATCCTGTACCCAAACAAACAGTGAATTTATTTGAGATCGCAACCTTTGTTTTGTTACTTCTATTGCTTGGGTGGAAAACAAATGACAACTTAAAATCCTTACCCCTAGAAAAAGGAACAAATTTAACAAGTCACAAAAAAGAGAAAAATCTTCCACATCACCCTCTAAGCATCTAACTCCCTCTCCTCCAGCAACTGATGACCACCTTTTCCCAATTCAAATCCTCTTTAAAAATAAGACTTAAGAAGACCAGAAAAAACAAAGTTTCCCCACCAAGACTTTAAAAAGTTTGCATATCATTTGATGCCCTGCAGCATATTTTGTACTTGAACTGCATTGTCCACCTACCTTAAATTATCAGGTCATCTATCAGGTCACCAACTATCAGATGTTGTCTTCTGTCTTGCACAGTGTCTATTGCATTGAGGGTATTCAGTAAGTTAATAATAATAATCAAGCCTTCAACACATAACCTAGAGTTTTCAAGAATCATGATTCCCAAATTCTGACATAAGCCCAATTGAAAAGAAACACTTTAGAATACTATGCAAGTTTATTTCCACCTTCCCTAGGCTTCCTAGTACCAACTTTGCCCTCATGGAAGCAAGTTTCCCTGATGACTAATTAAGGAGAGACCCTTCACCTACCTGTCTCAAGACATTCCCTTTCAGTGAGATCTTGATACCCAGTAGTTCTCTGCCCACATTCATTTCCTGGACAAAGCATTCTTATCATCTCCACTTCTCTGCTTGAGTACAACCAGGATTCTCCAAATATGAACACTGAACACTCTGGCAACAGGGTTTTTGGATAATCAAGCAGTTTTCCATGTAATTAACAGATGGTAGAGCACGTGGTACAACTCAGTTTGTCAGCAGGCCCAGAGGAGCCAGAAGCAGTTAGGAGTAACAAGCGACTTACATTTAAAAGCAGATTCAGGCAGCCATTTCACAGGCCTCTTCTACATGAGCATGAAAGATGCAGGGATCATAAGTACTAATCTATTAAAAACATGTCACAGGGCTACTCAGCACCCATCAGCAAGATCTGCTACCCAGCAGGGGCATGGAGGTGAGGGAGTCAGAATGAGCTGCTCCTCTGGATGGCTAGTTCAATAAGTCCCCCACCTGGCATTTTCACTAAACAGCAGCTGCCATCAGGACTTCAACCTCTCCCCATTTCCTGTGGTTTCCTCCACATAAGCTGAAGCAGCGACACAAGGGGCAGAGGATCCAGGAGCAACAGGTTCCTTTCAAAGCAATCTCTTCACCCTTGATGACATATCCTCTTTTTTCCCTGGGACATTTCTGGCACCTTCACTAACATACATGCTTCTCTCCTTCACCAGGAAACTCCACATCTCTGAACCCCTAAAAATCAACTACCCTACTTCACTCCAACAACCCAAGGTATGCCTGTGATGCATAGGGCTGTGTATCAGAGATTCCCGAGTTAGCTACGGTAAAAAAAAGCAAGTGTGATGGCACAGAGCTCTGTGTGAACTATACCTAAGAGCAGTATGCAACTATATTCTATTCTAACTTGCATGATTTTCCTATCTATCCTGAAAAACAGCATATATCACCCAGTCTGATGTTCCATGTTGTCACCAGTACCCAGGTTGTCTTTTCTTGAGCTAACTGGGGTATCTCCATGCTACAATACAGTGCACAGTGTTGATGTATTCCATGATTCCAGTGCTAATTTCTTGTCTAATGATCTCCCCTTAATATGCTTGTTTCCCTCCTTTGCCATATCAGAAATTCCCATTTTCCATTCACCTCAACAGCTCTCTTTTGTCTTCTTCTTTCTTCTCACTGAAGTCATTCAAAAGTAGTTGAGAACATTTAACACCTCACAAGACTGAACTCATAAACCCAAATCCTCCAACTAAATATGTGAAAGTGAGACATCTCTCCACTGAAGGAGAGATCCTAGAACACAGACTTTTCAGGGTAGGTAACAAATTTTATTGTGTGCATGTGACCCCATAACCCATATTCCTGGGACTCCAGTGGCTTCAGGAGAAAGCTTGCAAAGCACTGTGTCGTTTATAGAATTAAGTAGAGTAAATTCTTTTTCCATTTCTTCATGCATTGGGCCAAATACTTCAGTCCTTACTCAGAGCCTGATTCTTATGACCCTACTCAAGTAATACTTCCAACAAAGTTAGAGTTTTCCCTCAAGAAGGACTGTCAGACCATCCCATTAAAACAAGTTTATGAAAGGGAGAACCCTATGTAAATGCAGGCAAAAATAGTCCCTACAGGAACCCGAACAATCTGTCCTCAGACCAAAAACCATCTGAAGCAATTCTGCCAATATGGGATGACTATATGGCAAACAATTAGAACTGGAGCTGAAAACAAGCCATTCTTCATGACCTCATCCTTTCTCCTCACCAGGATCTTCCATATCAAATCACCTTTTGCCATAATACTTCAGTAGATTCCAATCCATCTTCTGCTTTTTAGAGACTCAATTTCCTTCAGCTTTTTAGTTTCCTGTATGCTTGGCTAACAGGAACTTCTATCTTCACCAGCACCTGTTTCTTGCCACTTCCAGAAGGGTTTTAGTCTCCCAGAAATCAGTGGAGGTTTTTCAAGTTGTTCTATTAAGCTAATCATCCTTGTACCACAGAATCTCACAGACAGTCAATAATATCTCTTGAACATATAGCTGAGGAAAATATTGTTATTCCTATTTTACAGGAAGGGCGCACAACCTGAATGGATTATATAAGCCAGCTGCAGCACTTCTGAAGGGAGAAACTAGATCTCCTGAGTTCCACTCCTGCATTTTAACAAGATCATCCTCCTTTCTTTGCACTCCTGACTTTTATAGCCTTGTACTCAACCCTCGCTAGTCAGAATGGGGAAGCATCTTTCCCACAGGATGCTAAAAGTGCTTATTATTTGTGTGACAGTTGTGCTTGAATGTCTCACCTGATATCAGGGCCCTATCATGGTTGGCACAGCATAAACACTTTGTGAAGGACAGGTCCTGACCTAAGGGGCTGGCAATCAGGGCTGGTCCAAGGATAATTGGCACCCAAGGCAAACCATGTACCTTGGCGCCCCCGCCACTTCCAATATAGAGGAAAATAAGAAGTCTAGAATGAACTTTTACATGTACTTATTTGATATTCAAAATGAACAATAAAACAATAAAAACAAAACAAAAAAAAATCAGGGACACATCCCCCCGAGTGGGTATGTGCGTTTCCCCAGGAATAAAAAGTGTGTTTCCCCAGGGACAATGTGTGCCACTGCTACTTGTCTCCGGGGAGTGCCTGTGCCACGTGTGCTGTGGCGTGCAACACATTGCCCTGGGTGTGGTGGGGAAGGCTGGGGCCAGCAACTGCAGTGGCCCCAGCAGCCTTACCAGGGTTCCTGGGGGCCTCTGGGAGCTGCAGCCACAGCGATCCTGCAGCAAGGAGCCTGGCCAGCAGCCGAAGTGCAGCTCTGGCCGGCCAGGCTCTGGTTTTGGGCGGCACGCAATGCCACCACATACACCATCCCACTTTTTTTAGGCAGGTTTTTTTGACATGGGGTCACCCCCCCACACCCATGCTGCTAAATTGCAGCACAGAGAATGCCTGCATGTGCAGCATGTGTGGTGTGTGGTGCCACAGACATGTCTGCAGTGCCACATACTGCATGTCTACACTCATCTAGATGTGCCCCAGGAGTTGGTCTTTAGTTTTTCAGCTTTGAAGCCATTTCAGTCATTGTAACATTCTTTTTCTTAATTTTGCTGAGATCCTTAAACAATTTTATAATTTAAAAAGCAACTGTCCCCATTAGTATCCTCTACTACAGAAAAAAAAACACATTATAAATTAAGGGGTTACTCCCACTGGAGGAGAGAATATATACCTAGGGCCAGATCGTATTCCACTTGCTGGGCATCTAGCACATCTAAGTGCATTCTATTCTACTGTTCAAGTCCATGAAAATTTATTAATGCATCTACATTCGTGTAACAGGGAGCCAAGGGAGAAACTGCAGCAAGGCACAAACAGGCCAGAACCTGAGCTACAAGAAGGCAACACAAGCAGACAAAGGCCAATAAGAGGCTGAGACTGAAATTCCAGGCCAGAGTAAGTGGGCCCAGGCTACAAACCTACAGTCAAGTAACCTGTAGGCTAAAGCTAAGAGGACTGAAGCCTATATAGGAAGATAAACAAAGACAAAGTGACACCTGCGAGGCATGGCCATAGCTATGGAGGAGGCTGGAGGCCATGATTAAGAGACCTAGGGCTTAATTAGGGGCCAAGAGGGCCACAGATGATGACCACTAGCTTGGACTAGTGCCAGCCAGGTACTAGTAGACCCACCAGAGTACATGGAGAACCGTAATGTTTTGGGTTAGTGGGCAGAAGGCCCAGAGACCCTAAGAGGTTGGTTATGTTGGTTAGACACTGGTAAGAGCCACCTGTCCCTAACTGGGTGGGACACTCCTGGAATAGGATCATCAAGTCCCAGTTCCAGGCTGCATGACTGCAGGACAGCATTTGTCCTGGATTTGCAGCATTGTGCAAGGATCTGGGTTTCCCCTTGTAGACTGGCAGCATTCCATTCAGGGAAAGACCCAGGCAGCATGTAGAGCAGCTCCCTGCAGGTAAGTTTATGGGGGAAGATGGGCGGGGGGGTGGGGGGGGCAGATCAAGTCCCTCATAGTGAGGGAGGAAATGAGACAGGCACTGGGGATGCTGCCCAGCCAGGGCAATGCATGGGGTCCTGGGACCAGGGTGGGGAGCAGGATAGTCACAAGTATGGGGCCAGGGGGCATGGTGAGGGCAACTCTCTGCCGCCGTGTGCACAGGGAGAGGTGGATGGGGGGCATGTGCCCCCCAGATTTGTGCGCGGGGTAGGGGTGGATGCAGGCTGTGGGCTCAGGGCTCCCTGCCCTGCTGCCCTCCCCCTCGGAGCCTCGCACTGCTATGGTGATGTGCTTCCTGCCTACCTGATAGCAGCCAGAGTGGCAGTGGCATAGAGTTGTGCCGCCCACTGCTGCCAGGTGCGTAGCGGGCACACAACTGGTGTGGGCTCCTGAGGGAAAGGCTGTGCCAGGTGTGGGGGTAGGCAGGCATGTGTCCGACCTTTCCAATTTAAAAAGGCGGTCACCTAGGTGAGAGCACTCTGAGACTCAGGGGCAGCCTTCCAACTGATAGCCAAAGAACATCAAGGCATGGCAGGAGAGATAAACAGGGGAGGTTATATAGAGGACCAGGAGTATGAATAGGACTAGGGTGAGCCCCAGGGGGTGCCAGGACTGCCCCAGAGCTCATCCTGTAACAATTTGTAACATATGGTCATCTTAGCCATAAAACCGAGTCATAAACAGGGATCCTAGTATTCTCTGATTTTAAAAATCCCCAATTTTCAGATTTAAAAAAATAACCCAAAATCCACATTTTTCCTATGTCTATATTAGTGGTGTTTTATTTTAATTGTGGAAAAATGTGGATTTTGGGTTACTTTTTTAAATCCAAAAATTGGGGATTTTTTTATCAGAGAAAACCAGGATCCCTGGTCATATAAAAGCAGGAAGGAGGAGGAGGAAGATGGACCCAGATTAGCATTAACAGTTTTTCAAGGACTTAAGCAGAGTTAACAGGATTGGGTGTAAATGCACAAGTCTGTTTACATGCAGTGGAATATAATCTGGACTTTTAATCTCCAGAAATCAAAAGCAGTTAAATTCATAGGGCTTGATTCTGTTATATTTCTTCATAGTTAATAGTAAATTATTTGAAGAATAATCCCACTAACTTCAGTAGAACTATTTACAGAGTACTGTATTTCACAAAATAAGCAAAGAAGGTAAGAGTGAGGCCCTTAGAATGTCATTGCTGGAAATATACCTTAAGATAGAAATTCAGACCTAGTTCTAAACTGTCCCACAATTGAAGGCAAAATGGTGTTTGGATATAATAACAGGATTGGGGTTAGAGGGGAGGTTGATTCAGGTCCATCTTTAATTACTGTCGGAAATATTCAATTTCTAATATTTGAACTCATTGTTTTTCTTTTGATAATACACTCTGATAGCAAATTTCATGGGCTGTAACTTCCAAAGGATTAGATTTATTTTTAAAAGAACTGTCTAAAGCTATTACCATCAAAATAGACTTCTTTGATAAGTTAGAGCCCATGAGAAACGAGATTTGATAAATGAATTGTTTGTCAGTGTCCCAGCTGCATATTTACCAGCTGAAACGGGTTTTCTGGAGGAGGATTTTTCTTCTTTCAAGACAGCTGCATTAATTATGCATTAAGAAGCCTGATTTTTCAACTATTACACATCCTGAGTAGCATTTACTCATGGGAGTATCCCTGGTCACTAAAGCACCCAAGGTATATATATATCACAGCCAGCAGGAAAACCTACAGGAATTTCTGAGAAGGTTTCCTTGTAATGATCTCTCCATTGTTACATAAGATCAATTGCTCCCACATAGAAACAACCATCAGGACAGTCTCCAGTTGTGGAAGATTCTGTGCCAAATGTGCACACTGGAGGAAGGCCAAGGATATGAAGGTTATCTGCAGTGGTCCCAAATTCCCCTGTCACAGACTCAAGATTTCTAGAGAATGGGCTCTGAACAAAGAATAATGCCGTCTGGAGCTAAATGATTTTTTCTGAGGATTTTCCACAAAATCTGGGATGTATCAGAGAAGGAGGTAGATGTGTATCCTCCCTAGACAACCCAATCTTCCTTTCATCCCCCCCAAGGTTTTCCCTAGCATGGAGCCCAGATTATGAAGAAGGGCCTCTGCAGAATCTGACAGAGCTGCTATAGGGGCTGAGCCCTCTTCCATACAAGAGGCACTGACGATTTACATATACAGTTCTAGGGACACGGTTTGAACCATTGTATTTTAAATGTGCTTATAATATTACTACCCTCTATCTACTACCATAATTCAATTGGCATTGATGTTGCTTTTCCTGTTACTTGCTGTTGGTTTGTGCATCAGCTAGGATGCTAGAAAAGGGGTGCTTAAGGCATAATCAAGATTTTTTTGTAACACAAGATCTCCACATTAGAGGTGTTTGAGCTGGGACAGGAGCATTAATAAAGAGCAGAAAGCCCTCTCAACCTCTACCTATTGAGAAGACATTAAGAATGTAATGTATTTATTACTAAGGATTTGTACAAGTGGTGCCAAATTAGATATTCCTCCCGCATCCTGATCTGTCTTGGTTTTTCAAACTGATTTTTAGGGATATTCCAGGAATAAGACTGGGTTAATTATATAGTAATACACTGTACTGCAGTTATTTCAGGGCCCAATCTTGTTCAAATTTAATTCCATTGTAATTTTGCCACACACGTTGATTAAAATGAAAAAAAAAAAAAAAATCCTGGGCCCTCTAGATCCAAATGCAATGGGCCTCTTGTGTGAGGTGCCAAGCACCCATCAGTTATTAAAATCAGTGATGCCTAATGGCAGTCAGTACCTTTTAGGATTAGGCTCTGCTTCTTGTTAGCTTACAAAAAGTTAGCTTTCTTTTCAGGGATAAGCAGACAGAAAACTTTTTAAATTTATACAGAATAGTTTCATTTTATGTAATAACGAGGCCCCCTCAGGCCTTATTAGAGGCAGTTTAATATAGCAAGACCACGAAAAAGATTTGCCAATTGTCTGCACAACAACTATGCCCCAAAATGTTTTATTAGTCCTTTTTGAAGCAGTTAATCACAACCTAAAAATTCTGCATCTGGCATATCTGGCAAAATAAGTCAAAACTAACAGCTGTTGCTACAATTATAAGTTTATAAACTAGTTTTAAAGGCAGGATTCAGGTTTTGTTTTCCAGTATTTATGGGCCTTACACATTCAAATAAAACATGATAAAAACTCTATAGTTGCAATTATTTCCCTCTTTAGAATAATTTAAAACTTATAAAACAAAGAAATGGTACTAGATTGAGTGACTTCTCCATGCCACTAACCTTAGGCCTGAATATCTGCATTCCTTCATAAAAAATCTCAGTGACTGAGGAGCATGCTGGTTGCACAATGTATGAATCATCTGGCCCATAAGCTGGACACTTCATCCAGTACTGGTTTTGATACACTGACAAATAACTCAGGTTAGTCAGACACACATATTTGGAATGATTAAGTCAAGTATAACTGTGCTTGGTTTAGAGGGGTTGTCTTAAAATAAAACTTTCTCCCTTTTTTTTTAGTATCAAGTATGAGGTTTCTGTCTAAACAAGGGCTCCGGATGTGAACAATTGGCTGAACTGGGCCTTAAAGCAGGTATGTGGGGCCCCATTCTCAGAGATCACAAAAAGTTCTTACTACATTAAATAGTCTCATTTCATAAATGAAGACAGCTAGCAAGAATAAGGGCAGCAGGTTGTACAGATCCCAATTTCCTGAAAGCAAAGTTATTCAAATAGTATTATCAAAGACCTGCTCAATGGATACTGTATTCAAATATGGCTTGCATAATCAGGTTCATGTTTCTTTAACAATAATGTAGGTACCATGATACATTTTTAACCATAATATTAGAAAAATGTTGTTTTCCAGGTTTTCTTTATTTGGACTGCATTTTGGAAAAACTGTGAATTTTGAAAGAGTTAGCAAATAAGTATTTAAAATAAAATACTTTTAACAACTGATACCATAAAAACAGGTAATAATTATCAATACCATAAAATAAGTCAGGCTTTACAGCTCTTTCTCTAAAAGCCTTTTAAGTCTATATTATGTTCTGCTCTTATGCCTTTTTTCTTCTTACTAAATAACATAAGAACTCTGGACAACTGGAGCTGGTGATTAAATGTTAATAATGAAATGGCTATGCTAGGAGTCATTTGCATGACAAAAGATGCTTATTTTAGTTTATTAAACTGCATGAAAGCAATGAGATAGCATGAACTCCTAGACAACTGAACACATTAGACAGGTTAAGATGCTCAATAATTTATAAACAAAATTTGAGGCAAACTGTTACAAAAACCCTTACCTTTCTAATATGATTTTGCTTTACAACATTTTCACAGAGCTCATTTATATTTTAATTTAGTTAGTAATTCCTCATGCCTCAAAATACAGTTTTATTTATAAAACACAAATTCATTATACTGACAAGATGTATTTAAAATAAATGGGAGTGTGTGTGGGCATGGGTGGGTGTCAGCCGGCACACATGCAGACATATACCCAATCCATGCATATGTTTAACTTCCAAATCTCACTCAGGAAGATATGACAAACACATGATTGAATATTACAGCAAAGAGAACCAGGTAAATACCTACAGGAACAGATTAATTAGAAACCTAAAAAGATCTAAGAAAACAAACACAAAACAAAAACTTTATACCTTCCCCAAAAGAATGCCACAGATAATACTGAATCTGAAAAACTCAGACATGCTCCACTTATTCATTCCTCATGCCAAACAATACCCTTTGAACTATTGTGAATTTAACAAAAGAAAACTTTTGTTCTAAAAAATGTTTTCTGGGCTGAAAGTCTTCTTCATCTCTATCAATGAAACCCGCATTTCTATTCAACATGAGCACAAAATAAAGTGCCATTCTTCTCACATCAACAATCCAAACCCAAACTAGAGAGCACTGTTGCCTTTAAGTGTGACAGCTGCTCTTCCTCCTTCTGAAAAGTGCAGTAAATGGGAAGGAAGAAATGTGTAACCGCGTTCCAGTGCCGGTGCATTATCCTCGCAGTCTCTCTGCTTTTCTTGGCACAGCGACTGAGCCTAACCATATAACCACGTACCTGAGGCTCCTGGGCTGTAAAAATACCAGCATGACATGTAAATACAGATTGGCCTGACATGCAAATGCATAAAGGCTTTCTCACTTCACTGCACCTTCACCCTGGGCAGGCACAGAGTGAGCGCGGCGGGGCCCTGCATCTCCGCGGACCCCGGAGCTGTACCTGCGTTTTGGAGGGTCTCCATGTTCTGGGGCCGAGCGGCAAGTTCCGCGACCGTCTGCACGAACTGGGTCCGGGCTCTCTGGTACTGCTCAAACACTGCGGGGCGGAGAGGGGCAGAGTGAGCGGAGGCAGCGCGCAGGGAGCCGCAGGGCCGGAGAGGAGTAAAAGCCCTGCCTCTGGCTCATGGCTCCTGCCGAAGAGCCCGGAGCGGGGAGAGGGACGAGACAGCAAAGGCTCCTGGCGGTGTCTGCTGCGCCCTCCGGGATCGGGGTCCCTAGGGGTGCTCAGCCCCGCAGGCCAAGGCGTGCGGGCGCGGAACCGGGAGCGGGAGCGGGAGCGGGCAGCCGGTGGCTCCGCGCCGCTCTGTGTATCGCTCTCCTAGGTAACCGGGCGGAAGCGCCGCGCGGGGGCGGGAGGCGGGGGGGAGGCGCGGAGGCCC